TGAGACGGTCACGCACGTGGTAGCTACGCTGTGACGTGAAATGGGAATTAGCCAATGAAACGCGGCCCCTGTGGTAAGGTCCATTATTTTAGCAGTCATTACAATACCTTTTCCTTTCTCCATCCTCACAGCCACTCTCGTTGAAGCTGCTGTCACTGCTGCTGCTGAAAGAGTCGCCCAAAAATTCCCTAGCCTCTGGGGTGGGCTTCGAGTGGTCGATGGGCACCGTATCTCGCCCTGCCAGCCACTGTTCATAGCGGTCTGGCTGGTACTTCCTGACAAAAACATCCATTGAAATCTTCACCATGTCTTTACGGCATGAGCACTAAGGGAGGAAGAGAAAGCAAGACAGGGGTTAAAACAACTAAATTAAATGAACGATTAAAAGCATACGTTTTATCTGGTCCTCACCAAAACTGCTTGCTTGCCATACTCGATCCATCTCTCCGTAGCAAAGTTGGTGGACTCGGCACAATTGAAACCGTGGTTGAAGCCAGCGTGATAGGCATAGGGGAAAGTAATCATAAACTCACCAGCTTCCTGAGTGATCTACAGAAACAGGGATACACTAATTAGCAACTACACATTAAGCCTTTAGCTTGTTTCACAGGTACAAATCACTATTGAAAATGTTAAATGAACACTTACCTTTTCAAATGGAATGCCGTATTTCTTCAGTATTGAAGGAGAGATAAGAGTCATTTTATGCCTTAAAAAGGCTTCACAATTTTGAGAACTACCAGGAAAAAACCCTAAAGGAGAAGAACAGATTAAAGAACAACCTCTAAAGTAGCCTGGTAAATCAGATGATATTCTTTTCAACAGATCTTTTAGTACGAAGGTGAACTATAAGCTGCTTCAGGACTTGCTGATAACTTGTGATGAAGATCCAATAAGACGTTATGTTGGTGTTTTTTTGCCTTTAGTGTTTTAATCAGAACTGAACCTCGATATAATCTGATTCTGAACAGCATTGTAGCCATTCAGTGATAAAAATCCCCAAAACTGAACTTCATTTTCCCATAACATATACATCATCAACAGTTTTCTAGAAAACTGTTCTCTATAGAACTCCACTCTGTGCTGCTTTACCTTTAGCCAGACGCTCCAGTCTCTTCCCATGCTCTGGGGAAACACAATACCTACAAACACCCAAAAGAGAAAGAAGTTTAGATTCTACAACCACTAAGTTTTATGAACTGTTGTTAAGCCTCTCAGAATAAAAACAATTCTTGAAGTTAAATGCACAAAGGCAAGGATTTCCCCTCTTGTGTAAGAAATTAAGTCCATAAACATTTGTGATAACGTTAGATTTTATTTTTTTTTGATGAAATATGGATTGAGTGAGAGAGGTTTGACTGATAGACCAGTCTAACAGTTCATGTCTGTACATTTGAAGTTAACAATAGTCTCCTCACCGTTACCAACTCAGCAACTTTCTTGCTATAATTAGCAACATGTCAGACAAAGTTTTCTGGCCAATCACCGACCTGCCAATTCCAATTTTGGCCTATATCAATTTTTAATTCTGAAAAGTCGCTAAATATAACAACAGATACAGCATCTGTTAGGCATGTCTCAGTTAGTCCTCTCTCACTGCAGTGGAAAAGGGGACAGTGGCTGATTTTTAGACCTTTGCAAAGGCAGACAAGATCAGAGGATAAGATCGGTTTGACATGCAAGTATCGGCCTATATTCCAAAATTAAGGAAATGGGGGCCGATTTATTGGAGCACCCCTAATTCTGTTATGAATAAATTAGGTTTTATAGTTTCAATAAAAACATCTACCAGTAGATAGTTGTTCAAAGTTTCTTGACTGCAAGTTATACAGTCATCAGTAAATAATGTATAATAATATAAAATTATGCAAGACTTTAACATTTTCATGACTATCTCTAATTCATGAGACTTGACTTCAAGGAATAAATAATATGCAGTAGCTTAGCGACAAGCGTACAAAAGGTTTAACTGGAAGTAGGAAGGGACAAAATGGTCAAAACAGGACTCCAAATTGGCTGGAGCCTTCTGTTACTTATGCATCTCTGTGTTAAACCTAGGCTGCCATTTTTTTAATCACCCTACCATGCTTGTGCAATAACACCCGAAAGATTTTAAAACACCTTCACATTTCCTGCAACTTTTGAAGAAAATCTGTGGAAGGCCTTACCACGACTTGGGCTCTCCGAAGTGCAAGTAGTTGATGCTGTAAAGGTCCATGTCCTCAGTGTGCCATGCAAAGGTAGTCTTCCACATTCCAAAATACAAGTAGGGGGTGTTAACACCCTCAATAGTTATTCCACTGTCACGCTCCACAGTGTCCAAAATGGTTCCCAAGTGGCAAATATTCCATTCCTCAATATCCTGCCAGAATACAGTCCCGGGTTAGGTTACAGCAATCACATGGGCAAATATGAATTGTGATGTTCCAATATCAGCTTGACCAATCACATAAACACTACATCGCAACCAGAAATGTGTACTGATGATCACCACATCAACAACATCTAATGAGTATCTACTTACAGGGTCATACAGGCTTCCGTTAACATCTGCTCCATACAGAGGAGGGTTAAATGTTAAATTCTTCCAGTATTTCCTTTCCAGCTCCTCAAAATCATCATAATGTGGGCTGCAGAACCTGAAAAAGGCATTTGGGACAGTTAAGGCCAAACTTTTTTCTTTTTTTTTTTTTTTTAGCTTTAAACAATCAGCATTACAAGCACATGAATCCTACTTGTCACTGTTGGCAATCTTGCGAAACTCTTTGACAGTCATGGCTCTCTTCTGAATGTTGTACTGAGTGAAAAGGCCTGACTGGCCAGTCACCACCTGCTGAATGGGTGCAGGAATCACCAAATCATCTATGTCCTCATAAGAACCCCGAGGCCTCCACTCTTTTGGTGGAACAATCTGAAAGATGGGTCAGGAGACGGCGTTATCTCAGCTAGCAACATAGTACTGATCCATGGCAGAATCGGAATCTTATTTTTCTACATCCCAACATCAGACATTAGTTACCTTTGCTAAACCTGCTCTGTGTGCTCCCTTGGACTCTATATATGCAATATAGCGGCTGAAATTCTTGAATTCTTCAGCAGTGGGATAAAACGTCATGATCCCTTTGGAACCATGATTTTGAGAGAGTGCCTCTGATGCCATCTTTTATATCTGTTGTGGATCCTGCACATTGAAAAAAATATACTTTTTTTAGCACAAGTAGCAATTTAAAGTGTCTTGTAGAAGTTATTACACCATATATATTTTTGAAAATATTCTATTTTATCTTTTCATGGGACAACTTTGAAGATCTGACACTTTGATACAATGTAAACACTGCAAAGAAAATCGTACAATTCATTTTTGTCTAGTTTCTAGTGCAAATACCTAAACACACCTGAAATGGGACAGAAATATCTTACAAGTATGACTGGACGAAATAACTGAAAAGCTTATCACGATACAAGGTTTTCATAACAGTCAATATTAATAATTATTGATTTGTGTTTTTATTTAAAATATTCAATATACTGCCAAAATAGTGGTTGTTCCTGTATATCCACAGCTTTCACTTCACACTGTTTTTTATTTGCCTCTTAACTGCAAGTCTATAATTTCTTAATATTAATAATGAAAAAGTATTTACACATTAGATTATTTTACTTACAACTTGGGGAAAATCTCACGTTATAAGTTCCAGGACACCAAACCTGAAGGATTGGAGTTGACACCACTGTTCGAGACTAACTGATTGGATGAAAAACACATTTACTAATAAATCACTAAGCTGATCTAGTCAAGGCCAAAATGCTGAAATTTATGTCTAATGCAGGTTAAAGAATAATTGTGTGAAGAAAAATAAGATGTTTTCCACATTATTGATGGTACTGAGCTGCATGTAGCAAGAAATCAGCTAATGACTGTAATCAGAAGATTTTAGCTCCACTGGCCAGTCAGAAACTCATAAATCTGACCTTTCTCTCATTATGATCCCAGTAACAACTTGTGCCTTAAGCACAGACATTTTCAAGAACAGAGATGTAAGAAGCTATTTAAAAGGAAACTAAACTACTTCTAACAATTTTGAGGCTTGTATGTGGTTAACTCAGGATGCTGCGCAAGAGAGCAAAACTTAAAGCAAGTACCATGAAGCCTGAACAGAATTGCTCTGTTTGATCATTTGACCTTTCAGCCTCTGTCTATTATAAAAGCACAATTGATTTGAAATATTGATATGGTTAACAGAAAGGAGATGACCATGACAAGGCACCAAGCTAGTACAGGAATCTGATTTACTATTTAATAATATTGTTTGTCTGAGAAAACAATGAACTAGAAACCGGATATAAAAAAAACCTGAGTGATATATAATTCTGTTGCCATGAAAAAACAAGCAAAAGACAATTTAAAATTGACAGGCAATTGTGATATTTTTCCCCACTGAGTAATCTATTTGAAAACTGACAAGTTTCTAGTAACATCTTTAAAATATATATTTTTTATGTACAAAAATTATCAGAATTGTAATATTTACATTTTCAAACAACCCCAACCTATAAGTAGCATTTTTTTTTTTTAAAGATACATATTCTGAACAGGCGTTCAAATGTCGATAGACCCATCTCTCCTTAACCAATTATTCTTTGACATAAACTATTAATTAGGATCTAGCATGTAGCCGTTTGACATACCAGGATTTCATGTTCCACGTTACTTTGAAGCTAGTATGAATTCAGCCTGGATGCTGCCGCGTACAGAAATAATCGCTCCTGATTGGTTAAGAACTGGTCTCTTTAAATCTCCCCGAAATATGGCTAGCTACCGTGCTAATGAAACAAGCTACATCAGTCAACGACTGTGTGGCAAAGCAAAATATAAAGTTAGAAATGATAGCAAGTCTTATTCAGCGGATACTGGAAACATGCCAATGTCAACCAAAGCGTTGACTTCGTAAACAACAATAAACAGGCTGGGAAACAATGGCAGGGTGTATTAAGAACTCTAACCCCATTAAGCCCGAAATGGAATGTGGCTACGCTCAGTATCAGATGGTACATCCCATAGAAACATTTATATGCATCTTGGGCAGACTTAGCTTTAGCATTCTCTTGGCTTTAGCATTCTCTTGGCTTTAGCATTCTCTTGGTGGTTTAAAAATGAACTTATATTAACCCTCCGTTTGAACGAATATATGAGCCGAAGTATTACAACTGGCATGCAAATTCTGTATCTATACCAGGGCATGGCCTGCACCCCGACCAATAGCAACTCCATTAGCTTCACAGTAGCTCCTATGGCTAACAAACTATATCCACCGGATTAGCATTTTGAGTTCAGTAGTTCACGTTCTGCGTCCAAGCGACGTCGACGTGTAGATACATACCTCCTGCTCTAGATATGGCCGAACTCTGTCCTTTACGGAGCAAATAAATTGTAGTTAACCAAAGGGGCGAATAGCATACCACAGAGAAGATAGCCTGCTAACTAACTAACAGAACATCACAGTCCTCCATTACCACCTCTACGCATGAACACGCATCTCGTAAGTTGTTTACCACAAGACGCACGGGACACGCTCAGCCAATCAGGTGGCGAGTTTCATGGCTTCGCTTTACAGCAGCTTTATTTAGAAGTTTGCTCACGAATGCAAGTTAATTTGATGCACTTTAAACAAAAAGAGGAGCATTTTTTGCAGGTTAAAGGATCTGTTACACCAACATAGTTATAACAGAAGCCAAATTATAGACTTTTAAAAAGTGTATTAGTCATTATTTAGGAAAAGAACGAGCCCACTAGCAAGTTTTACTTTAAACTCTTGAACTATAATTTAGATTTTTATAGCATAAGTACTAATTAACTAGGTAAAGAAAAATTTAATATTCCAGACACTTTGAGTGACCTATTAAATCTCAGCCAGTGCCACTAACTCGAGTTAGGGGTTAGTTACACTTTAAATACCTATTTTTTTTGTCTTGATTCTGTGTTTATATGAGATTATGTGTACCAATAAAGATTCATTAAAACATAAATAAATTTTGCAATAGAAAAATCAGCCTGTGGATTATTTTTAATTCTATAAATAAAAGTATTGGTAGTAGACAGATTACTAGACAGATAAATGCAAAAGATAAAAATGTTATTGTTATTTACAATAAGTCAAATAAACATTTTAATATTTAATATGCAGCAGTTAACTGCCTAGTGAGAGTTTGTCCATCATGAAGATGGGCCCTGGTGTTTTTATATTGGTCAGTTAATAAAGTCATTTTAGAGAGTGGTTGCCAAGATCACCTCTCGGCTCCATCTCTCCCCATTTCTTCATAACCTACAAGCATCATCACTATTAATACACTCCTCATAAAATCTTAAGGATTTAGATTAGTCACTCTTTAGCTTATTTTATCAGAAACTGTGAGTACTCACTATTTAGATGCAGAGACCAGAAGCCCAGAGGACACTTGTGGATCAAGTGTTGTTGGACTACTTTTTAGACTCCTGTTCTCCTAACCCAGAAATTGAATTAGACCAGAGGATACTTAACAACCCTGAACAGGAGCACCTAGTTTACATACTTTAGATCAACATTAGCTTATTTTTCTTCTTTTGCTTTTTTTCTTCATTTTCTTTCTTTCCTTCGGTTTGTTATTTTGTTTGTATTTACTTTTAACTCATGTAAAGCACTTTGAATTGCCTTGTTGCTGAAATTGTGCTATATAAATAAAATTACCTTACCTTACCTTAAGACAATAGAAAAATTTTTAGTTGAACTTCAAAATGTAAAAAAATGAAACAAGCTGGTGTGTTTGTGTTTGTGTTGGGGACTTGGGCCATGCCTCAGCAGTGTGTGTCCTGGGCCAGGATAGCATATTGTTTATGGGGGTATTTTGGGCCGGCTGTGGTACTGATTTGTGCTGTGGTGGGGGTCCTGCTCCATGACTTGATTGAACCTTGCTTCTTCCAATCCCTGGGAACTGTAGATTGCCAATTCCTGCCTGACAAGTTTGGGGTACCAAATCAACACAAAAATAGTTCCGAGTTACCAAAATCTGCACCTGATCCTAGATCAGAACCAAATTCTCTATGAAAGCTATTGAAGAAGAGAGTATTAGAGACAAGCCAGGACTCTAGGTGACCCAGAACAGAAGTGCCAAAGACCAGTCCCTGAGATTTATCATTCTGCAACTTTTAGATGCAGGATGTCTGGTGTTAGAACACCCGGGAGAGCTCAAAGATGCTGATGAGCCATTAAATTCAGGTGTCTTGGAGAAGGGAGGCACCTAAAAGTTGCAGCATGGTAAATCTCTAGAACTAGATATGGCACCCCTGATCTAGAGAGATTGTGCGCTTAGGAATGGTCAAAGATTCCTCTGTCTGTAGGCTGCAGCTTGGGAAAATGTTATAGCAGGAAGGCAAAAAGTTGTCCTATTGGTGCCCTGGTGATTAAAAAAAATTTTGAATGGAATTTTATGTGCATAAATTAAAGGCTGGATTTTTCTTTATTTATCAGTATGACAAACAATGAATTTATTTGAAGAGCTTATACATATATCCTGTCAATGTGGAGCACAATGAACATGGTGACATTTTCTGAAAGTTATCTCACACTTTGGAGGCTACATGTAAATTACTTTTATCTTTTACAGCAGTGGTGTCCAAATTATTTGTCAAAATTGTCAAGTCAAAAGGACTCACGGGCCAAAAAATAATGTTTAAAACCTCAAATAGTACAGTAATTATTTTACTGCTTAACATAAACTAAGCACATAATGATTCTAATTAAATAAGTCAGTTTTTGCTTTATTGTGCTGTTTTTTTTTTGTTGTTGTTGTTTGAAAGGGAATTTTAAATTATTGTAGATCCAAAACTTTGAGTTTTTCCACTTTATTAAAAGAAATATAACCTGTTTATAAATTTGCTTTGTCTCAGATGAAAAAAAAATTTGGTTGAGTTTCACCTATTGTTTCTCTCTCTCTCTTCACAAATGCTTGCTATATTAAGCCATGTTTGCCAAATTGAAAGCAGATTTGAGTTATCTAAAGTCTAAGTAGAAGTCAGCTGATAAATGTAGTCCTACTTATTAAAAAATTAAGAGGGATGGTTGTTAAAAGACAAATACTTTGTGTTTTATATTTTTTATTGTAGAAAATCTTATTTGTCACCAATAATTTTGCTCTAGCTAAAGAAAAATAAGTCTCATTTGCATCCATCCCCTGTTCTGGCGGGCCACACAGAATCAGGAAAGGGCCATAAAATGGCCTCTGGGTCATATTTTAGACATCCATTACATATGGATGGATGTCAGATATTTCCAACTCTTCCAAAAAAAAAAACAAAAAAAAAAAACATGCAAAACCCCATCTTGATGTTGAACGTCTGTTTTATTTCATGCCATAAATGGCACATTCATACATTGAATCTCATGATTGGTTATATAATGTTATATGCATCTACATTTAGGCAGTGCATATACAGTGTTATCATTCCCATTAATAAAGGTAACAATAACATTAAACTTGTTAACCACACACACAAAAAAAAGAAAATCAGCACATATAACAATTTGTATATGCACAGTTTTAGCATAATAGGAAGTACATGTGCACCCTGTAGTCCACACACTTTTACTCACCTTTTACACCAAAGGAGACACAAGCAGCATTTGTGGGGTTTTTGGGAAAGTTCATAAAGAATATAGTATAGAATATTATAGAGACATCAGTCCCCAGTCTATTTCCTCTCTGGTTCCTTAAATTGCATAATACACAAGGTAAGTTGCATCTGCATTCTCTCAAAATGCATATTTAACCTCTAGCATGTCCTCCTTTGGGGGACTTACATAAATTTATCATGGCGGCCCATTTTTTCTTCTCATCTATTTACACCCTCCACGACACAAAACAGTAAACTATCCAACCAACAGATACGTACCGTCAGGGAGTATGTTAGAGAACGCTTAGCCCGCACTGTCCTGTCCCACTATGAGACAAACAACATCCATGAATGAATAACTTCCACTTAGGAACATTTTGTTTAGTCTGACACAGTAAAAGAAAAAAAAGGGATTAGGGCATAGAGAGCAAGGAGAGCAAACTACTCTTATTTTTGCACTTATCACTGTTTAAATATAGGAGGTCAAAAAAGCAACTACAACTTGTACTGGAGATTGACATTGTTTCAGAAAAGGAAAAACAATACTCATTTAATCAAAATGTAGTATACTAATTATTAATTGTATCATGTTGTTTATATTCAGGAATCATGTAATAGCATTTTTACTTGTTTTATTCATTAGGTCACATGTAGAACTGACCCGAGGTCAGTATTGATCGATTCTCCCTTGATTGGCTTGGTGATCTGAAGGTCAAATTAATGTTTTCTAATCAGTCCTCCAATTTTCAGTCTCTAACTGCATGCATGTACTGATTTAACTTTATGAGTTTATTAAAAGTCAGATAAAGTTTGGGGACATGATCTGATACATAAATGGGGATCATTTGGAACCTGCAGTACATTGTTTTTGTTGTTCTTATAGAAAATAAACAAGAAAATAAGAATAGTGGGTCAGACCTCAAGGAAAAACAGAAATACTTCTGTTGGCCATAAACTGTGTATCTGTTAATTATGTCTGAGATTGGGAAAACAGCACATTTTATAGAATTGAGGAATATTTTTGTCTCTGTCATTTTGTATTTCCGGTTAATTTATACAGATGTCCATTAAGATTTCTTTTAGTATGTTATTAGTATTATCATACTTATCATTGGATCAATACTACTAATTCTTGCCATAGACTGTCCCTCCAGCAGCTCTATTAAAATCAGCTTCCCTTTTACAGCCGACCTGAAATGGATTCAACCATTACATAATCCTTCTCAGAGGTAAAACAGATCCATATGAGAAACTCCAGACATCATTACAGATATGTTTAATCTTTTGTGTTGAGTAGCTGTCCGCTTTTCCTCAAACATTTCACACACAGATCACGAATGGCAGTTCTTTTGAGCACCGAGAGAGTCATTTTGCAAGCGGAGCAAAACCGGTGCAGAAGTGGAAAAGAAACTGTGTTTGCGTCCCTTCCTCTCATCCAATGTTCCTTGCTGCTCTATCTCGGAGCACCAGCGTTCACCCACATCCTGAAGACATTGGCCCTCCTTGGAATCGCTCAGCCCCGGAGCCTTATTAACACATAGTTGCAGAAAAACGGCCTTCCGCTTGGTGATGTGACAGAGGGAGTCTTCTGTGAGCGTTATTTGTCCACAGGCTTTTTGATTTTCAGCGTGTTAACAGTGTCACAGACAGAAACGGTGTGGTCGGCCTCTCCCTTTCTGGACATGTCGGGCTCCCAGAGGAAGAACTCATGGAGGAGGGTGTTGACGGTGTCAGGACACTCCATCATGACCATGTGACTTCCCTCCTCAATGACCTTCAGGAAGGCAAACAGGAGGATCTGGAAGCAGAGTTGAAAGGAATGCAAACCTGTCAATATCTAAAACTGGAATGGATCAGACACATAAATCCAGCTGTCATTTCTGTAGTATAAGAAGGTTTTTGTTTAAGGTATTAAATATTAGCTAGTAAGGCTGTTTGCATTTATTGAATGACTCTGACATTTTGATCAGAATTTAATTGAATATGTTGGCTCAGTTAACTGTTATTCTGATTTATGGTGTCCAAACTAGTTT